AAGTCTCCCGTTAACTGCGATGTGGCGCCCATGTGAACAATGACTGGGTGCAACGTGTCATCCACGTGAAACTTAAAAATAAATTATTTATAAAATAAAAAATATATATATATTAAAAATAAAAAATAAAAAAACCTTCATCTTCCCCAGATTCGAAGGAAGAAGAAGAAGAAGAAAAAGAAGGGGAAGGAAGAAGGAGGAAGGAAAAAAAAAACCTTCATCTTCCCCAGATTTGGAGGAAGAAGAAGAAGAAGAAGAAGAAGAAGAAGAAGAAGGAAGAAGGAAGAAGGAGAAGGAAGAAGGAGAAGGAAGAAGAAAAAAAAAAGTTAAAAAGTTGCAGATTCGGAGGAAGAACAAGAAGAAGAAGGAAGAAGGAGGAAGAAGAAAAAAAAAGTTAAAAAGTTGCATATTCTGAGGAAGAAGAAGGAAGAAGAAGGAGAATAAAAAAAAAACAAAAAACCGAATATGCAACCCAGATTTGGAGGAAGAAGAAGAAAAAGAAGAAGAAGAGGAGGAAGGAGAAGGAAGAAGGAAGAAGGAAAAAAAAAACTTCATCTTCCCCATATTCGGAGGAAGAAGAAGAAGGAGAAGAAGGGGAAGGAAGAAAGAAGGTGAAGAAAAAAAAAGTTGCAAATTCGGAGGAAGAAGAAGAAGAAGAAGAAGAAGGAAGAAGGAGGAAGAAGGAGAAGAAAAAAAATAACTTCATTTTCCCCAGATTCGAAGGAAGGAAAAGAAGAAGAAGAAGGAGAAGGAAGAAGAAGGAAGAAGGAGAAGAAGGGGAAGGAAGAAGGAGGAAGGAAGAAGGTGAAGAAAAAAAAAGTTGCAAAAGAAGAAGAAGAAGAAGAAGAAGAAGAAGGAAGAATGAGGAAGGAGAAGGAAGAAGAACAAAAAAAAAAAAAAAAAAATCGAATCTGCAACCCAGATTCGGAGGAAGAAGAAGAAGAAGAGGAATGAAGAAGGAAGGAGGAAGAAGAAGAAAAAAAGGAATGAAGAAGGAAGAAGGAGGAAGAAGAAGAAAAAAAAAAACTTCATCTTCCCCAGATTCTGAGCAAGAAGGAAGAAGAAGGAAAAAAGAGAAGAAGAGGAAGGAAGAAGGGGAAGGAAGTAGAAAAAAAAAATTGCAGATTCGGAGGAAGAAGAAGAAGAAGAAGAAGAAGGAGGAAGAAGAAGAAAAAAAAATTATGTTATAAAAAATTTATTTTTAATTTCCACGTGGATGACACGTGGCGCCCAGTCATTATCCACATGGACGCCACGTCACAGTTAACGGGAGACTTAACAATTTGACTAACGGATGTATGAGACTGTCCCAAAATTTACACTTTAGGTATGACTCTGAAATGAAAAAAACTTGATGTATCAAATGTTGAAAACCACGAAACATGAAGGTAATAAACAGTCTTTGACCCAAAAATTTATAATAGCATATAAGTGCCACGTAGTTTACCAAAGAACACTTTTACATATAAAATTTGCCAACTCCCTTGAAGATATAAAACTGATTTTGTTGGGTGGTGCTACATACACAAAACTTGTGCAATATACCATATAAATTCAAGGACAATGCTTGGGTACTCAACAGGGAGTACCATAGTTACTGACCATCCTATTTGGACCACTAAATTTAAAATAACTGTCAAATAAAACCCTCTCCCAGCTCTTACTATCTTTCTAACCTAACGCACCATTTCATCTCTTGTACTAGTATCCAAACATCCATTTTCTCTCTCAAAATAAGCACTACTGCCACATCTCCACCAACCACCTCCTGTCCTTTCTCTCGAAGCCATGGCAGCTTCACCCTCTCAAATTTGACGAAACCCATGAAAGCTCAGATCCATCTTGCTAATCTTAAGAAGGAAATTTCATCTATAAGAAAAAATTATGAAGCAGGTTGAAATTATACAGTGAAATTCGGGAGAAGGTTGGTGTTCAGATCTGCCAAAGATTCCACTACGGAGAAGTCCGACGAACAACGACGGGGTGTTGCTATGGCTTCCACAATAAAGAATATGAGGGTTTTGGGGCGAAGTTGACACAGAAAGGTTAGATGTGGGTGAGGCCAATGGAGAAGATAAGGTTCCTAGAGGCGTTGGGGAGGACAAGGTTTCTGGCGTTGATACCATGGTAAAAGCAAGGAGTAATGAGGTTGGAATGGTGAGGATTTGAGGGAGAAAGGGGATGTTTGGATGTGTGGTTAACGCTGTGTTTAGTTACAAGTTTATCAAATTAAAGTTGTTACATGTGTTTTGTTCTTATTGGGCCACTTCATATGTTCAGTATCTTGGGTACTGATTAGTTAGTACCTAAGTATTTTTCTAAATTCAATTGATGACACATCATTCGATGTACAAATTTGGTACGCGTGCCTTGTTAACTGGAAAACAATTTAATAGGAAAAACAATGGTCACATCATTAGAAATTTCGAAGATACTATATATGTGCTTGCCTTGCCTGGATTAAAGGTTTCGTATTGGAATTTTTGACTCCTAAAATAAAGGGAGTTTTAACGAAACACTTTCGGTACTATTCATTTTTAACGAAAAACCACATTTTTACCTTTCCTGATTACTATTCACTACCTTTATTTGTCATTTTTTTAATAAAACTAAAAAAAAATTGGACTTTTCGTTAGTTTTTCTTAAAATGAAATGGGGAGAAGTTGTCATAGCCCGTCCCGAATAATTGATTTTCGACAGTGCGAAATGACGGTTCTAACCTTTGAACGTTAAAGCTGTAATGTGTGTGTGACTTCTTTTGGAGACTTGATATTTTTCCTTGGTTGGTTAGTGACCATGTGGAACTCACACACACATAATACTCTCTCTCTCCTCTCCCGTATCCTCTCATCTCTCTCAGACTCTCTCTCTCCTTCCCTTAAATACGGACAAGACTCAAAGCTCACCCTCGAGCACGGATCGAAGCTTTAAAGGTAAGGTCCTAGTTCATTGTAACCTCATGAGTCTATTGATACCCTTATTTGGACAGGAATGCATCGGAAACCCGAGAAACACTAACCCCGATTTTGTGCACTGTTCATGCACACATAAAACCTTGCATTTCACAAGCCTTGGGGTAGTTCGTTGGAAGAGTTTGGACGTCAGAGGGCCGAGTTCGAAGCTTTTCAAGTCGACCAGATTATTGAGCTTCCTCAGGTAGATTCTAGTGGAATTCAAGGCTTAAAAGTAGTATAACGTGATTCTACATGTTATTAGCTTCATTTTGGTACCAATTGCATGAAAAATGGTGAAGAAACGAAGGAGATTAGTGAATTTGAAGTTTTGCCCAGTTTCCGGTGCCGGTGACGGTCACCGGAGCTGGAGGTAGGAGGTGAAGGAATATTCCGTCAAGTATGACGAAATATTCTCACGTTGTCAGTCAAATGTAATGGAATCGGTTAGGTTTAATGGAATATTCCCTAACGGTGGTTAGGGAATCCGTCAGGTTTGGGCCGCGCGTGGGGGCGCGTTTTGCCGTGCCCTTGCTGGAGCGTGGTGGCGCGTGGAAGGTCCAAAAATATTTCTAAAAATATGGGGATGATCCTGAGGTTGTGTAAATCACTGTGGTATATTCATATACCTATTTTGAGCAATGTATGATAAATTATTAGCTAGTATTGCCTATGTGCTTTAAAAATAACGTTTTTATAGTTAATCCGCATATATGTGAGGCTTATCCCGAGGACGAGCGTATCCACGGACGACTCAGGGGCTACGACCCTTCAACATATCATTGAGTGGGCTTTTGTTTTCAGTATATATTTATATACTTAATATATTTCCTAGAAATGCATTTTAAAGAAAGTATGCTTTGAAATAATATGCCAAATGCTTCTATATTTGAATATGCATTGCATGTTTGCATATATATATATATATATATAAATGTGGTGCTGTGGAGGCACATGTGAGTTCAGGTAAGTTATGTTTAGTTGTGTGAATCATCGATGATGTGATATGTGATTAAGTAATGTTGAGCTCATAAAGCTGCACCTAGGGTGATTGTGAATTAGCCAAAGATATGAAGTACATGTCTGTTTATTTGTGTCACCTCCCGCACTATATGCTCATATTGGATCCAACTTAAGTGCACAGTTTTGTCGTACAGACCTTATTATGATTCCGACTCGTAGGTGACTAGCGATTTATCGCCCGGCTATTATAAGATAATAGAATTGAACATAATTATATTTCACACAATCTTGTCATACAGACCCTTTTTAGTGGTTCCAAGTTATGTGCAGTATATTGCCGTATAGGTCATAGTAGTGACTTCGGCTAGATTGAGTTTGAGCTATGAATTCAGCCGTACAGACTACCACAGGAGTTTCGGCTAACATATCACATTTCTATGAAATTATTCTTACCTGAATTGTTTACTCTATTATATCTTGGCATGGCATATATACCTATGAATATGATTATGTGAAGCATGAACTGAATTGATATGATTTCATATATATATATATATATATGTATATGCTTATATCTTGATTTTGGGAAAATTATACATGTTTTACAACGAGGGGTTAGTATATTGATAAATGAAATGATTTTGTAAAACATTTGTTTTTGCCTACTCACGTTTTCTGTTTTGCGCCCCCCTCCAGGTTTTAAGTAAGCTTGCTGTTTGTGGCTCAAGGACGTCGGCTGTTCTGATTTATATAAATAATAGTAGGACATTCCTGGTACTGTATAACTAGTACTTGTCCTACTGGACTGCACCTAGACTTTATGCTCTGATTAGGAGTGTTCACAGTTGTAACTAACTCCTATCACTTTCTGTTTAGTAGTGCACTCTAGAAATGTGGTTTTTAATTATTCGTATAATTGCTATCTTTATCGCTTCCGCACTGTGCACATGGCTACGTCACTCTCACGTGACGGCCAGCATGCCTTGACCTCAGTCGGGGTGTGTCAGAAATCCCCTTTATTTATTATTTATTTCATGTTTTTCCTAAAATAAAAAAATTACATAGGAAAATGATGTCAAAGTCATCTCACTTCTTAGCCAAAGAAAATTTTATTTCCAACGACATCAACCTTTAATTGGAAAATGATGCAAAAGTTAAAGACATGGTAAAACCAGGCGATTAAGCCTTATTATATGAAAGCTATGTAGTGAGAAAATACAGCTACTGCACTCCACTCCACTAAGACACAGGAAAGAAGGAGCTAGATATTACAATACACTGTAAAACCACGAACCGAATTCATAAAGCCTTAAACACAACCTACGCAATGAGGAATGGCAGGACAGTCAACATGAACTCCTCATAAGTGAAAGTTCCCATACCAGTGTACGCTTTGTCCTTCTCCTTAAACTTCTCAGTTAATCCCTGAAGACACAAGAATCACAAAAGAACACGCTCCATTAAGTATTGAAAGTTTATCGGTTAACCCACTAATTTAAATTTTTGAATACTCAATCACACAAACTACACACAAATCCGAATAAACTTGCACACCGATGCTTTTAAGATACGTAGACAGCAAGAACAGATTAATAAACCTCAATTATCAAAGTAGGAGTAAAATCTAAAGCCGAAGGACTGAGTAGAAGTTCCCCAGTTAAACTATAAATTAAGTGCACAAAATATAAGCTTCAGTGAACATCGAACTCACCTTAACAGTCATACAGCACCTGCATTTAACCAAAATAAACGAACAAGGAGTAATCAGATTTCGATAAGAAAACGTAATATAAAATATAACAAATGAAATGAGGTAAGTATCTAATTCATAAGAATTTGATCCTCAAGCCAATCCCAGAAAAGAATGATAGAAAAAAGGAAAAGGAAACATACTCGATGAAATTGTCATATTCAATGGCCCTCTTTTTGCCTCCAGTCTTGCCGAATTTATAGACCAGCAGTTCTAAAACTACAGGTGAGACAGCAAATCCCAGACCCAGCAGTGCATCTCTCAACTCTTTTGTATCAATGAACCCACTTCTGTCCCGGTCGAACCTCTCAAACACTCCCTGATCAACCACACCAATTACAAAACTGTTAATTTCACACAACAATTAAAAGACAAAATTTTAGGGGACTTTTGATAACCATTCATTTTTAGTTTTTTGTTTTGATTATTTTTTAAACAAAAAACTGAAATTTTGTTTGGTAACTATTTCCAGCTTTCAAAAAAAAAAAAAAAAAAAAATGAAAACTCAATGCTAAAATTTTGAAAAATGATCAAAAAAGTAATTTTCAAATTTTCATTTTCTGAAAACTGAAAACTGAAAGAAGTACTATATACATTTCAATTTTTTATTTTTAAAAAGTAAATATAAAAACTGAAAAATGAGAATAAAATGATTATCAAACGATCCATTAAAAAATAAAAATAAAAAAAGAAAAAAAGAAGGGAATTCGGGGGATTACCCTCCAACTTTGAAGACTGTAGAACAGTGCAGCGAATTCCTTGGGTCCTGTTTTCACAATTTACCCGCACACACAATAAATATTATTATCATCGACTATTTCATTAATAGTGAATTGAGCTACACTGAAAGCTACAAAGATAAATTGTAGCAAATTAACCCCCACACACAACTTGCATACAACGACTTCACCATGATAGTGGCGTCTTGATCTACTAATGTAACGAAAAAATTATACATGACATGATGAACTAAGTAACCATGATGATCTAGTCTCTTTTTAAATAAGTAATTCTCCGAAAAGAGAATATTTTTACTCACCACTCTCAAGTGATAGTGATGTTCATCACTCTATTTATCATAATGAGTTTACATTTTGAGATTGAGCAGTTGATAGATACAAATATCAAAGATTAAACTTATCCAACAGTAATAAATAAGGTGGTGAGGATAAATTTCAAAGGGGTTTTTGAACATTAATCCTTGCAAAATATTAAAATTTAAAAAAACCTGGTGTTAGATTAAATATTCAATTTAATCCCTTGAGTGTACTTTTATCAAAATTTACATTCAATTTTTGTTATTTAATGTGTATTTTTATTTAATCTCTCCATATTAAAATTTTATTTTATTAATATGCACATATTTAGTTTTTTTTTTTAAATTAGAAATGAAAAATGAGAAAATATTAAAAAAAAATTGTGATACAAAAATATATAAATACATAAGTGTTCATAAATGATTGTGCCAAAATATATAAAATTGACTTTTTTGTACCGAAATATTTGTACCTACATGATTGTACCGAAATATATTATAATGAACCTAAATGTATGTGCCTAAATGTCAATACCGAAATGTATGTACCTAAATGTCAATACCGAAAATGTATGTACCTAAATATCAATACCAAAATGTATGTACCTAAATGTATTTACCGAAATATAATAATTGAATTAATGTACCTAAAAGTCGATACTCAAATGTGTGTACCAAAGTGTACGTAACGAAATACATTATATTGACCGAAATGCATTATATTGAATCAATGTAATTACATGTTTGTACCGATGGATATACCAAAATATTCATATGTATTAATGTACCTAAATAAAGAACATACAAAATTGTTATCGGAATATATATTATAAAAAAATTAGTTGCCTAAATGTAGACATTAAAATATATTATGATGAATGAAATAAAAATTAAATTTAAATGTAATTAATACATAAAAATAAAAATAAAAGGATAAAATAAAACATCAAAATACAACTAATAAATGATATGATTAAATGTGCTAGGGACTAAAATTAGATTTTAATCTTACTTATGGTTATAATCTAAAACTCATCTTTTTTAAGGATTAAAATGAAGTTTTCTAAATTTCAAATTCAACGAGAAAATCACAGATATGCATGCATGGAGTGTTAGGGTTTGTAAATTGTTACCGATCTTCCTGGTGTTGGTCTGGGTGAAAAGGTACATGAGAAGATGAACAGTCCTCAAGCTGAAGCTCTGATTGTACGACGACAGAGCTCTCTGCATCTCCTTGTCGTCGATGAAGCCGCTGCCGTCCTGATCTGCCAGCTGAAAGCATTCTATGATTTCCGGATCCGTGCCCGGCGGGAACACCGACGGAACCAAAGCCGCGAACAGGCTGCCGTAACTTGGGGCAGGCGCGGGGTATCCGCCTCCGTGGGCTTGATTCTTGTGAGGCTTAGCTGGAGCACCGTAGGCTCGGGCTTTATGGTCGTATTGGTGCTGCCCTTGCGGCGGTGCACCGTAGGGTTGACCTGGAGGTGAAGCGCTGCCGTAGCTGTGGCCGTAGCCATAGCCATAGCCGGGAGGAGAGTGTGAGTAGCTTGACATTCTCTTTAGTTCTTGTAGAAGATCTGAAAATTTGGTTTAGGAGTGTGCACAATTTGAAACTGATCGGGATGGATATTTATATTCAAGCTCGGATCTGGAAAGGCGAGGTAATTACCGGCACTTTCTAGTTTTTAGAATATATGCCTCGTCAACATCTTCTTAGTATCCTGACAAATCTTCACAAAACCCTTTTTTTATCAAAAATACTTGGACAACCTTTCTATAATCAAAGCATTTTTATATTACCAGTTTTCCTACACGCTGCGAAAGATATTTTTTTTTAACCATGGCACGTTACGCGCAGCATATAGAATTTTATTTTATGTTTTGCATTTTTATTTGGAAATAGACTGAATGATGACTGAATTGACAATTAAAAATATATTCAAGCTCTTCTTTACGTAACGCGTAACGCATTGTAAAGTAGAGTTTATTGCACCCATGACGTGAACAAAGAAATCATGCACACTCCAATTCGTTACAAAATTCACTAAATCTAAATAACTAATATTGCCAATCTACCATACAAATTAGTAAGCACAAGTCACGAGAATAAAACGATTCCACTTTTATTATCCAGCTGAAAACCTATAAAAGAGAAGATGAATTTTCAAAATTGTTAGGAATACAAACTCTCAAACCTGTAGATGGTGATTAAACCACTAACACACTCAAACATTCGATTCTGATCGATTTTGGATCCTGATTTCTTCCTTTTGCAGAAACAATTTTCTCACCGTGTTTTATATCTTTCTGATTCCTTGTGCAAAACAAATTCTTCGTGCAAAACATTCGCTTCCGCTTTCAAATTGCTTGCTCCCATCATGGGAGTCCCATGAATAAAAGAAACATTAAAAATTCTTACCTACCAAGCATTTTTTCTTCAAGAACAGAAGTCGTGGCCAAGTAAAGTAATCAAAACCTTCAAGCATCTTAAAAGATCAGATTCCAAAAGAAGTGATAGTCGACCTTTGATTCTTCAGAGAGTTGGTGCGTTATGAGATTCTGAAAAAGAGAGGAGCAGTTATTGTATCCGTAATCCATTATGCAAGTTGTTTATACCATATTTAGGGCCTCGTATTTAGATCTCGTTTAAATACTCGGGGGACTTAAATGTAATTATGTGATAAAGGAAGGAGCAAATATGTAATAAGTGAGGAGTCCTTATTCTATAAAATGACCCCTCACCCTCACAATTAGGGAGGGCCATTTCGTAGGCCTGAGGTCTCTCATATTCAGAGGAAGCCTCCTCACCCCCAGAGGCTTCACTCTCACCTCACAAACTCTTTCTCCCTCTCAGAAATACAATATCAGTGTGGACATAGCCCAAACCTTGGGGTGAACCACAATACATCTTGTGTTATTTACATTACTTGCAGATTCACAGTCGGATTTACGTTGTTCCAAGGCCTCTGGTTTTGTACATCAACATTCGGCGTCGTCTGTGGGAACCGACACGAAAAGCTATGTCGGTTCTCTTTCATTTTTTCACCTTCGCCGTGAATCTGCAGAAATCCAGAACCTCCCTCCTTGGGTTGTTTCAAAAAAAAAAAACCTTCGCAGATCTCTCTCTCTCTGTTGCTTGTTTAATCTTCTCACTCTAACACTACAGTAATTTCCCTTAGAAAACTTTGTGGCTTTTTCCACTCCCAAACCAAAGTCCCCCAAACTGCAAAACAGAGTGCGAGTAGTGAGTGAGCTCTGAAACAAAACGGCAACAATGGCAGCCTCTACAACTGCAACAGTTTCGTTATGCTTTTCATTCGCAACCCATTGCAAAATCTCGCAAAACCTTCAAACTCTGGCAACCCATTTTAGCTGTCCGTCTCTCTCATCCTCTTCTTCCCACAAGCTGTCTTCTTGCTCTTTACGATGACCCACATTCCCGCTTCTGATCAAGCCGTCGGAGTCGGATTCAGCCGTGGTCGTCGAGGTCGACTTTCAAGCTCCCGAACCAGAGGCCGGGCCCAAGATTCGAAGCCAGCGGCCTTCCAAGTCGTGGAAACCCCTTCGTCGGAGGCCCCAAAACGAGAGTAGCTGTTCGGCGTTGTCATGATCGGTAGAAGCAAAAAGATCAAGATCTCTCAGCATGTGTCAAAGGCCAGATCTCACCCTCTCTCCAATCTCCCCAATCGCTTCCTGTTTTCTGCTTCCCGCCATCATTCGTCTCAGTCAATGCCCGTAGCCGAACGACGGTCAGTAGCAACTATGGAAAACGGCATCGTAAAGAACAGAGTCTGCTCCTCGAAGTTGGCTAACGGGAATCGCGATGTCTGGAGCTCGAAGGAGTCAGAATCTTCATCTGCTGATCATCTTGTCGTTATGGTCCACGGAATTAGGGGAACTGCTGCGGATTGGAAGTTTGGGGCGGAGCAATTTGTTAGAACACTTCCAGATAAAGTTATCGTTCATTGTTCCTGTGGCTTTGACACCCAATCCATCGTATGCGTTTGGTGGGGTTCTAAAATAAAAAAAAAAAGGCAGAATCCAGTAGCGATACGTTTTGGCATAACACAATACGCTGACATAACCAGAAAATGAGCTCGAGCCATAAAGCTCGCACCCAAAGCCACCCTTTACGCTATCGCCAGCCATTTGATCGACAAAGCTTGAAAATTCGTAGCCGACAGTGGACTCTCCGAAGCCGTCAAGATCTACGGGAGCTACAATCAGCTGCTCGACGATCCATGTGGAGATGTGGTATACATGCCCCTGCCTACAAGTCTTGGCCTACACTGGGCGGTGTTGGCTGCTTGAAAAAAGAAGCATTTGCTTTTGGAAAAACCAACGGCTCTGGATGTGAGTGAGCTTGATCAGACACTGGAAGCGTGGGAATCCAACGGTGTACAGTTCATGGATGGCAGCATGTGGCTGCATCATCCCAGGACTGCCAAGCTGAAGGACTTGGTCTCTGATCCCAAACTCAGTTTCAGTATGCGGGGACAAAAGTTTCGGTCCCGACCCGGCGTCCGCCCCGGATTTGAAAGCGATCAGATGCCGAGCAGAATAAGATTTCTGCAAAAAACCCCGAGAAGCACTCATGAATAAGATAAGAAGATGCCCACCAAGTTTTCTCGTCTCCTTTAATCATTGCCTTTAATGCATAGAAGCAAGAAAATCATCAACCAGCTCTGAGAAAGCAAAAGTGGAATAAAAGAAAGAGGAAAGAGCTGGAGAGTAACGTGCAATCTTCTATCAAGTGGGCTTGGAACATAATAGAAAAGAAAAAAAATCATGATGTTGTTGAGAGAATGTTTCAGAAAAAGAAAAAGAGGAAGAGCGGGGAAAAAAAAAAGCAGAAAGCATGGCTACCCTTTCAACATGAGATCTGCGGTGGAAAAGAGCAAAGCAGAAAACATGGCTACCCACTGAGATAATTACAAAAACAGAAAAGAAAAGAGAAAAACAAAAGCAAAGAATAAACACCCCATCAAAATGATATAATTTATTTTTTTTATCTTTTGGAGACATCTGTATAAACCCCATCAGAGGGTAAAAAAAAAAAACGGCAAAGCCCAAAACAAATGGGCTGGCATGTTGTGGAGGGCGAATGCCCATAAGCTCGAAATAGCACCAACCAGGTCATCAAAAGTATGCCAAGTACTCCACAATTATTCAGCAACCCGCCACTATTAGCATAAACTAGGTGATCAAAAGTACGCCCATTACTCCACAATTATTCGACAACCCGCCGCTATTACCACCAACCAGGTGATCAAAAGTACGCCCAGTACTCCAAAATTATTCGGCAACCTACCGCTATTACCACTAACCAGGTGATGAAATGTACAACTCGTACTCTAATATCATTTGGCAACTAGCCATTCATGCCACCAACCAGGTGATGAAATATACAACCCGTACTCTCCTTCATGCCACCAACCAAGTGATTAAAAGTACGTCCAGCACTTCATATTATACATGAGCATTACTCATGTCATGAGCATCATTCATATCAATCATACATAAACATTCATGAGCATCACTCATGTTAACATTCATGAGTATCACTCATGTCAACATCCATGAACATTACTCATGTCAATCAAACATTCATGAGCATCACTCATGTCAATCAGCTTCAAAAGCTTCATTTACAAAAACTTCAGCTTCGAAAGCTTCATTTATAGAGCTCTAGCTTCAAAGCTTCACTTGAAAAGCTTTAGTGCAGGGTATACAAATACCGCCTCTAAACAACCGCCACTTCGTCCCATACATGGATTCAATTTGAAGTCTCCAGCCAACAGACTATATTGACCGAAGACTTGGGGGACTACATTATGTACCATATATTGGGCCTCAACTGGGCCATGAAAAATACTTGGGGGACTTAGCCCATTATTTATGTATTAAAGAGCGAGCCCTATTTTATAAAAGGGACTCCCTTACCTTCATTAGAGAGCAACGCCGCCAGCTAAGCAACCGTCTCGCCGCGAGCATCACTCATAGCTCATCACTTATGTATTGAGGAGCAAGCCCTTATTCTATAAAAGGGACTCCCTCACCTTCATTAGAGAGCAACGCTGACAGCTGAGCAACTGCCTCGCCTATAGCATCACTCCTAACCTATCACTTATGTATTGAAGAGCGAGCCCTTATTCTATAAAAAGGACTCCCTCACCTTCATTAGAGAGCATCGTCGCCTACTGAGCAACCGCATCACCGCGAGCATCAACTCTAGCCTATCATTTATGTATTGAGGAGCGAGCCCTTATTCTATAAAAAGGACTCCCTCACCTTCAAACGTCACAAACCGAGCTAACCAAGGCAACATAAGCCACAAGCCGAGCAGCCTCGCAACATGTGCTACTTATAGTTGAGCATCATTTCACTTTGAGCACCGCCTCATATCAAGTACCAGTTCAAGACGACATCTAGTTACTTCGGCCCACACATGGACTGAATTTCAAGTCTCCAGCCAAAAAACTCTCTTGACTGAAGACTTGGGGGGACTACTGTTTATACCATATTTAGGGCCTCGTATTTAGATCTCGTACAAATACTCGAGGGACTTAAATGTAATTATGTGATAAAGGAATGGGCAAATATGTAATAAGTGAGAAGTCCTTATTCTATAAAAGGACCTCTCACCCTCACAATTAGGGGGG